AACTGTATGACCTATGGCTCAAGCTTTTTGTTAGCTAGCTCTTTCATCTTAAATTAACCCATTCCTATTAATCTATATGTTGCCACATGGCCATGGTGTTACCGGTCTGCTGGCATCTTGTTGCTCCTTTGGCAGTGGGCTTGCAGTCTCTTCTGACTTTGTCCTTCTTCTCTCTGTTTCTCTGCTTGGATTTCCCACCTACCTCTAAGCTGCCTTGCCATAGGTCAAAGCTGCTTTATTTATTAGCCAATGTGAGCAACACACATATTCACAGCAGGTGGTGACATTTTATCCATGTACCCCAATAAAGCTTATCTGAAGATGAGAGGAAAAAGCCAGCCACTATAGTAAACATAGAAGTCAGGCAACAGTAGCACATGCCTTTGATCCTAGCATTTGGGAGTCAGAGATCCATCCAGACCTCTGTGAGTTCAAGGCCACACTGGGAACAGAGCCAGGTGTGGTGACACACGGCTTTAATCCCAGCACTAACCATGGATATCTGGAGGTCTGTACAGACAGACAGGAAGTGATGTAACTGGTCAAAGAGAGGAAGTGAGATGGCAGAACAGAAAGGCATATAGGCGTGGGTATACAGGAAGTAGCTCTCTCTGAAGGTTGAGGGTTGGTAAGGTGAGGTTGGCTGTGGCTTGTCCTATTCCTTTTATCTCTCAATTTTTACCCCAATATCTGGCTCCAGGTTTTTTATTAATAAGACCATTTAGCAATTTGTCTTACAATGGCATACAGAAAGACATCCCATAGCAGTACAGTATACTGTCAACAGTTGAGGCAAGGGCAGTTTCTTTGCCCATTGGTTAGCTTTTGCCACAAAGAAGCAAACTCCATATGGAGGTTCTTTGAAGTAAATTGGTGCTGCCAGGAGCAGACATGTCTCATTGTCATGAAAAGCCTTATGTTATTAAAACATCCTAAATGCCATATTCTGTCAGACTTTGGGGTGTTTGAAGATCACTTCTCTATCTAAAATATATCTGTTTTACCTTCATAACTACAAGTTTGATTGCTATAGGTGACTAGCTACTAACTTATATTTCTTTATTATCCTAAATAGTTTGTAATAATAACTTTCAAAGACTAGAAATTTACATTGCATTGTTAAATGAGCTGCATAGGTGCAATACCTTAAATAAGAGTAGACAAGTATGTATACTATGTTCTAACAAAAATAACCTTAAATTTGTATCAATATACAAAAACACCTTAAACATGAATAGAAACATATATGCAGTATAACAAAAATAACCCTAAATTTGTATTAATATACAAAAATTCATATCAATGTAAAATATTTAAGACTAGTAGTTTTTTAGTTTAAAAGTAGATTCAATAATCTATCCTTTTTATCCTATCATCTCTCTATCCCCCCTTTTTCTTTTCAGGATGAGCTTCCTGACTCTAATCTCCTTTGCTTAGGTTCCTCCCTGATCATGACCCATAACAACTTGTAACCAACCCCCTAAATGATGACAAACACCCATAACTTGCCAAACAACCAGAAACCACCCACCCCACTTCTTGGAAATGTGGGTGTTGTGTTCTCTAGACTGCTTTCTGTTGTCTAAGGGTGCTGGAATCTTTAGAGGACCCTGAGAAAATTAGGATAATGGTCAAGTCCTGGGGGAGCTAACTGTTGTCCAGTCTTGGTGTGATAAGATAATGCAAGGATTATCTGAAGTTCTAGCTGCAATAGTCTGTGAGACTGAACCTCTCAGCTAGCATCTTGAAGCTGTTCCAGGTACAGAACTCTGAAGAAACTGCCTGAGAGGCTGGATCACCTGGTCCATCCAATTTTATTGGTGTCTGGTCCCCTTGCTCTGAAAACACACAAAATTTAAAGGTAACGTACATATTGGCATTAAAACAGGTACGGAATGTGTGGTATGTACAAGTCAGTTAAAGATGGATTTTTGGCCGGGGTGGCGGCGGCGGCGGCGGTGGCACATACCTTTAATCCCAGCACTCGGGAGGCAGAGCCAGGCGGATCTCTGTGAGTTCGAGGCCAGCCTGGGCTACCAAGTGAGTTCCAAGAAAGGCGCAAAGCTACACAGAGAAACCCTGTCTCGAAAAACCAAAAAAAAAAAAAAAAAAAAAGATGGTTTTTTGTTCTATGTTTGAGCAGGTAAAAGGCATCTGTTAACTTTATAAGTCTGTTTAAACTATATAACCAAACTGTAATATAAATCTCTACTCATGCCATATGAAAGGATGGGTGTAATAATAAGTCATGAGGACTCTGTAGACAACAAGGTTTATCATCTCATCTTGTCTCTGAGCTGTTCCCATGCAGAGGAATCAGCTTACAGGTTACCTGACCTGTAGTCTTTCTTGACTTCCTCCCCATGTCTGAAGCCAAGATGTTCAGGAGGTCTGCCTGGGTTGAATTTGATCTCTATTAACCTGGAAGGAATCCACAGCCTTTCATTTCCTATGGAAAACAAAAAGCATAACCTATTCCCCAACGTAATACATTTGTTGACTTCCATTTTAAAGTCAAGACATTCCTAAAGTATATAGGTTGGTTTAATTCAGCAGTCCCTTCCACAATCCAATGTCTCTCAGCTTCATTAGCATTAAAAAATTCAAAATTAACAAAACACCATATAAAGTCCAGACTCTTTGTGTTATAATATTTCCCATCCTTATGTGGCTTTTTTTTTTTTTTAAAAAAAAAGTATTTTACTTCTCTCTTTAAAGACTTTATTTTTAAACTATTTATTTTTTATGACTGTCTGTATCCTTTTTCTTTTTTTTCTTAAGCCTATAAACTTGCCTGGCTTAGAACTTAGATCATAGAGATCTTCCTGCCTCAGTCTCCCCAGTGTTGGAATTAAAGGCCATCACAACTGGATGTTATGGAATTATTTATTTTATTATTTTTAATTGTGTGTAGGTGTGTGTGTTGGTATGTGAGTATGTTCACGTGAGTGCAGGCACTTGAGGAGGCCAGAGACACTGGATCCCTTGGAGCTTGATTTATAGATGGTTGTGAGCCTCCTGACTTGAGTGCTGGGGATGGAACCCTGGCCGTCTGGAAGATCGGCAAGCACTTTTAACCACCAAGTCATCTTTCCAGCCTTGTTGTGGAATTCTTGATGAATGAATGTGATCCTGAGGAATGTGTGGTTACTATACTATTTCAATTCATGTAAAACTGCTGGTAACATCATTCTGGGAAGCTGGGATGACTTCAATCCTCAAAAGAAAAAATGGAAGCCTGCTGTGGTAGTACACACCATTGTTCCCAGCGCTTGGAAGGCAGAGGCAGGAGGATCTCTGTGAGTTCAAGGCCAGCCTGGTCAACAAATTGAGTTCCAAGACAGTCTGGGCTGTTACACAAAGAAACTCTGTCTCGAAAAACTAAAACCAAACCAAAACAACGACAACAAAAAAACCCACCCAGACATTTACTCAACTCCTGTCTTTCACAATTATGTGGGCTGTGAGCAGAGTATGATATGTTTGTGTCTACACATTTATCCAACGCATATATTTAATCTAAATCTTCCCTGCACAGACATGTCTGTGTTGCATGTGTACACATTGAAATAGCTGTGTTTTATCCTTTACTGGAACTCTGCACACAATACTAATTAACGTAAGGGCTTGGTGATTGAATGCTGTCACTTTGGCAGCTTAAGGAAGCTCTCCCTTAAGCTTCCATCTGTGTGTCCCTTTCCACCCAGCATCTCACTTAATCACCACCATTATGTAAATGAGGAAAGAGAGGCCCGGAGGGATGAACGTACACACCCCAAAGCCTGAAGCTTAACTTCCTGGTGGGCCCAAGGCTCTAAATCAGGCCATCTACCCCCTCCCCTCAACTGCTCCACCCCACAGTGTGCTGGGAAAAGTCCTGCTGCAGCTCCGGACCCTCATCCTCAAAGACGACATTAATGTGACATGGTGTCGAAGTCTGAGGGCAGTACTTGAAGCGGCGGCGGATGCGTGACTTGCTCAAAGTCACACACTCTCTTTGTCAGGCAGGTACTTGTTGATCTGAGAACCAAGAAGTCTTTGTGAAATAAGTGAGCACAAGAGAAGACATCTTCAGAGCCTTAAAATGCACAAGTATGACAGAGAGACGCTGCTTGTTGCTCAAACTTCTAAGGCTCATCTGGAGTTCAAGAGCTCTGGTAAGATTAAAGGACGGCGTTTCATTCATCTTTCACACCCCAGATAAGGGAGAGTTTCTTTTCTCTTTCTTTTTTCTTCGAGCTCTTAACTGTCTTGCCGCACCAGAGGCAGCTGTGAGATTAAGATCAGATGCTCTCAAGGGAGCTTTAATCTGGGACTGCTGGGTGCTGAGTCAAAGCAACAGTGGGATGGAGATTCCCAAGTCTGTGTCACTGGGAACGTGCTCTGAGACAGGTAGGCTGCCTCTGCTCTGGGTGGGAGCCCCTGGAACCTTGGGCTGACACACAAGTCATATCCACAGGAAAGTTGCCAGGGAAGTTTCTGCTTGGCTTGTGTCATAGCGTAGTCATTTGTTTTGCCCAAACAAGTTGATTTATTTAGGTATGTATTGACTAAGCTTGGCTCAACGTGCTGATCAAACCTAGTCTGAAGTCAGCAGAAACGGGCCAGTAGTGGAGACAAAAAAAAAAAAAAAGTCAGCTAGCTTGATTAATCATATGAAGACTGAGTCCTACAATCTTCACTCAGACTCTGGTCAATGCCAAACAGGACAACCATGTCAGATGTGTTGAAAACACACGGTTTGATCAGCGTCTATGAGGATAACACACGGCGAGCGTTGACTATGGATCCGAGTCAGGTTAGAATATCCTTATTGTAACAGGCTCTAGAATTTAGTACAACTGACTCCATGATGAAGTCCCATTCAGGTCATAAAACTCATCAGGTAGACAGCACCACCTGCCAAAACTAAAACAAAGACTTAATCCATCAATGTCCATAGTTCTGGGAAAGTCTCTAAATGTATTAGTCTTGCCTTTTGGCTTCTGTAGTTCCAATTATGGCTGACTGTTCTTGTTAACTGAAGTATGTCAACCCAGAATGTGATTCTGTGCTTAAAAGCTCACCCTGAGAAAGGCTCAGTGCTGCACTGGGATCCTGAACACCCAGAGTAGTCGCTGGTTGACTAATAAAGACCTTCTATTGGCCACAACCCATTTCTGAGTAGTCTTCTCTGGTGGATACCCCAAAACAGTTACCGAGTTTCTGTTGTGTGGAGAAAACAACAACAAAAACCTGTGCTTTGAAAACAGAGGAGGACCAGGCCTATAACTCAGTGGTCAAGAGCTTGCCTAGCATGCCCAAGGTCCTGGGTTTGATGCCTAAGATGAGAAAAGAGGGGAGGGGAGAGACCACCTCCCCTCCTGTGCACTCCTGGCATCAACACCCCCATCAGGAGGAAGAATGAAACCAGTTGATGAAGGTCCACCAGGAAATGCTGAGGGACGGTGAAGGAAAGGGTCACTACCTCACATTAGCTAGGGGGCAGCTAGTGGTGGCTCGAGCCCGGAGGAGAATGAGTACAGAAAGCAGGCATGCAGGAAAAGGAACTCATAGCCTTTTCTTCCTCCTGCCTTGGAAAGATCACAAGCCTCAGACAGCCATTAGGGCCAGGGCCGGGCCCCAGGATAACACCGGGGATCCCAGAGTCCTGCTGGCTGAACAGGAGTACCTATGCTTGCTCTCCAAGCTGATTTCTTCCCATACAGCAGCCTCCTTCAAAGACTTTCCTAGGAAATACCTGACTGAAGGAGTCCCCCCCACCCCAGGGGTGCAGGAAGCAGGGCTGGCGCCAGTTCCTGCAAGGTCCCTAGGGCTCTGCCCTGAGGGTCACTGACTCTGTGATTTTAATATCACCAAGAGAAAGACCACATAGGCTGAGGCCTTGCCCCTTCCCTAGAGCACACAGCATAGCTAATTCGTAAAACAGACTGCTTCACCAGTGCCATGTGAATTCCAAAGGCAAGGTTGTTAGAAATATTAGCTAGTTAGGTTATGAGTGTAAGTAACAAATATTATCACTGAGGATATTAGTAATACAAAGCAGACACTGGAGGATGTGTAAGCTGGGTGTGGTGGTGCACTCCCATAACCCCGATACTTGAGAGGCAGACACAGGAGGATCACTGCAAGTTGGAGGTTAGCCTGGTCTACATAGTGAGTGCCAGGCCAGCCAGGGCTAAATAGCAACATTCTGTTTCTCAAACAAACAAGCAAACAAAAAACTCAAGTAAGACTAATTCGTGAAATATGTAATAAAGGTCACAGTAGGTGATAACCTCGGATCATTTTCTATGTAGCAGGCAATGTCCTACGTGCATTTACTTGCATCTCACTATGTAACCCCGGCTGGCCTAGAACTTGGGGTGATCCTCCTGCCTCAGCTTTTTGAGTACTGCATTAACAGATGTGTACCACCACCTCTGGCTTCTACATTTCCTACTTGAATTTTTTGTTTGAACACATTAGTTCCCACAGCACCCATGAGGTAGGGACTATCCTTTCCGTTGTTCAGAAATTGGGGCACAGAGAGCTTGAGCAAACTCCCAAGATAAGGTAGGGTTAGGATTTAAAAGTGGACATTCTGTTTGGTGACAGCCAGAGCAGGAACAAGTAGAGAGGAGGAGAGAAGCAACGGGCAGTGTAGATGAGTCAACATCTGGATAAGAGTCCAGGGGCCAGCAAATGGAGGGGATGAAACGTTTCAAGCCGAGGGTGATAAAAATCTGAAAAATTAAAGGTGAGAGTTTCCAGACTGACAGAGCAGCCTAAAGAAGACAGATAAGGAAAAGCCCAAATCCAGACACGTGCCTCCAGGTTGACAGGGAGAGACTAGCTAGCATGTGTGAAGCTGTGGGTTGGAGCTCCAGTACAGCAGAAACCATTCTTATAACCTTAGAACTTGAAAGGTGGAGATGGGGGATCAGGTGTTCAAAATACTCTTTGGCTACGTAACAATTTTTTTTTTTTTTTTTGGTTTTTAGAGACAGGGTTTCTCTGTGTAGTTTTGGTGCCTGTCCTGGATCTCACTCTCTAGACCAGGCTGGCCTCGAACTCACAAAGATCTGCCTGGCTCTGCCTCCCAAGTGCTGGGATCAAAGGCGTGTGCCACCACCGCCAGGCTACATAACAAGTTTGAGGATAGCCTGAACTACAGATTTTGCCCCTGCCTCCAAAAAGAGTGCTGGAAGAACAGCTATGCCCAAGACAACAGAAAAAGTTTATGCAAAGAGCTCATTTTCTTCAAAGTCAGAGTAGCTTGACCCCACACGTTTATGGGGCTGGGAGTGGGGGACTTTGAATCTTGGGACTGATGGTGGATAGAGTTTGAGACTGAACAAGTCTTTTGTGCCTTGAGTCTTCCAGCCAATCAAACAGTCCCTTTCTCCCTCTGCATTCCACCTGCTGTGGGTGCTCTCCTCTGTTCCGGAAGTCTGGCTGCTCTGGGATGAAACTTTGTTCCTATCACAGCCAGAACACGCCACTCCTCCCTGCAACTCCAACGAAATGATTCACAGTCAGGCTGGGATCCCTTGCCCATCAGTCTAGCTTGAATGCCATGGTTCTGACTTATCCCACCACAAGCTGACTCTGCTGAGTTCTGCTTCGTTGTGTACAGCTTAGGCTCAGCTCCATTTTCTGGGCACAGGCTTTCCCACAGCCTTCAAAGTCATAACCCTGGGATGCCGAGGCGTGGAGAGCTAGAGAGTGAAGAAATGAAGAGCAGCTGAGTGAGTTCCCAGCAGAAGTCTTGAGAAGAGAAGCTTCCAGAGAAGGAGGAAGCAGGTTAAGAATGAGGACCCTTGGTGAAGGTATGAGCATGCTGAAGGACGGAGGATCTTTTAGGTTTATGAGGTCGGAAACAGAGGTGCCTCTGAAGATGGCCTGATCATCCTGGAGGGACTCAGGGAAGTGAACAAAATATGTCACCACTCAGACATGTGCCTCTTAGACAAGAAGAGGAAGACCCAAGCTGTCAGTCGTGGATGCTCTGAGAATTAGAAATGGAGGCACTATGTAGGCATTTGGGATGGGGGATCTACGTTCCACAAAGCGCTAGGGTCATTGCTACTTCATTTGAAGGACTTCGTTTGCCATCTTCTGCTGGGATTGTGTTTCCCGTAAGAAAAGAACATGCCAAGTAACTAGATGATGTTTGTTTTTTTGTTTGTTTGTTTTTACAGAGCTTAAAGATAACTTAGAAAAAATATTTAAAAGACACAAGCCTCTAAGTAGATGATCAACGGTAAGACCCACTGGTTTATTATTATTATTATTATTATTATTATTATTATTATTATTATTATTGTTTTTCAAGACAGGGTTTCTCTGTGTAGCTTTGGATCCTGTCCTGGAACTCACTCTGTAGTCCAGGCTGGCCTCGAACTCACAGAGATCTGCCTGCCTCTGCCTCCTGTAAAGGTGTACGCCACCACCAACTGGCTCCACTGGTTTATTTAAAGTGAGCAATAATTGAATCCAGTGGTTTCTTTGAGGCTTGACTGCTGGAGTATGACTCTAGGAAGCTGTGTCCTCTCGTTTCTGGTTGCTCTGCAGCAGAGCCTGTACCGGAAGTGCAGGACAGCATCTGCTTCTGCCCTTTGTCTCCTGAAACCCAGGAGCTGGTTCACCAGCTCCTTCCAGTCAGTGTGGTTTCTTTATTTGTTTTTTTTTTAATGTGATTTTGGATGTATGGGTTTTAATTTTTCTGTTTATATATGTTATTTTATTTTATTTTATTTTATTTTTTTTTTGGTTTTTCGAGACAGGGTTTCTCTGTGTAGCTTTGCACCTTTCCTGGAACTTGCTTTGGAGACCAGGCTGGCCTCGAACTCACAGAGATCCACCTGCCTCTGCCTCCCGAGTGCTGGGATTAAAGGCGTGTGCCACCACCGCCTGTCTACTTATAAGTTATGTATGAGTGTTCTGCTTGTATACCTGCACGCCAGAAGAGGGCATCAGATCCTATTATAGATGATTGTGATCCACCATGTGTTTGCTGGGAACTGAGCTCAGGTCCTCTAGAAAGGCAGCCAGTCTCTTAACCTCTGAGCCATCTCTCCAGCCCAATGTAAGGGTTTTTCATATATTTGATGTATTTCAATATATATTGGGTGGATTGCAGTTATTCTTGGTATCACATTGTTCCATTCCCCCCTCTTTTCTTTCTTTTTCTCTCTCCCTCTCCCCCTTCCTCCTTCTCTCTTTTCTCCCTCCCACCCTTTCTTTGAGACAGGGTCGCATTCTGTAGCCAAGGATGCCTTAAACTCAAGGCAATCCTTCTTCAGCCTCCCAAGTGCTGGAATCACAGATATGAGTCACCAAGCCCACTTGTCACCTTCCTCCTTAACAGCCTGATCAACTTTCACATGCATTTTCTAGGGGTGTCTGATTCTTTTGCATATATAATTTTTTTTGAGACGGGGTTTTATGCATCCCAGGCTGGCCTTAAACCCACTATGCAGTTGTGGATGACCTTGAACTCCTGATCCTCCTGCCTTCACTTCCCCAAAATGGGGATTACAGGTACGTGCCACCAAACTCAGCATGAATATATATGAACATATATATTCGAAATATATATATATTTTTTTGGTTTTTGGAGACAGGCTTTCTCTGTGTAGCTTTGGTGCCTGTCCTAGATCTCACTCTGTAGACCAGGCTGGCCTTGAACTCACAGGGATCTGCCTGGCTCTACCTCTCAAGTGCTGGGATTAAAGGCATGAGCCACTGCTGCCCGGTCCTCTGAAATATTTTAATGTCTGTACTGTGGTTTGTTAAAGGATAAGAATTTCTCTGAGCTTAAAATTACATTCAGGAAACTAGAAGGAACTAGCCCAGTGGAGGTGAAATTACCAATATCCAGACTACAGAGCCCTCCACTGCACAAGCCATCTAGTTTTTCACTACATACAAATAACCCTACACTGTAATGTGCTTTAAAAAATAGTAAAGTTTTGTAAACAAAGAAAACTTTTTATGGTTCTTGAAAATGAATATGTTTCTGATTATAAGTAAATTTATTGTATATAATTTGAAAATGACGTCAAATAAATATGCAATAAAATGTATTTTTCCATGTTTTCTTTTCCTAAAACTTGTTATTGGCATAGGATGCTGACCATAGAGAACTAGGAACTGAATGTGTTTGTTATTCTAGTTTTCTTATTTTCTGAAAGACCAGAAAGCAAGCTAAAAGGCTCAAAGAATATGTCTAAGAAGGGTAGTAAACAGCTACAGTTATATTGACTGACAATTAGACTACAAGCAATGGGAGCCAGAAGACGATGGAGTGATTTCCTTTTAAAGCACAGACAGGTTATTAACACTTTGGAACAGTGCCTTTACACGCAGTGGTTTATGATAGAGACAGCTGGATGCAGTAATGGGGGCTAGTGCTGGGGAGGGCAGGAGCTTAGAAGTAAGGAACTCACTTTGTGTTCATGAGTAGGCCTAAGGTTCTATCCTCAGCACAGAGGAAAATTCAAATCAAGTAAAAAAAAAAAAGAATCAAAAAATCAAAAAAAAAAAAAAAAAAAGAATCAGTCGAATCAAATCATATGGAGGTTTTCAGAATGGAGCTTTTCATCCTCACACTTATTCCTGTCATAAGTGATAAGGGAATTAAAAAAATACTGTTGCATTCGTTTATTTAGCGTGTGTGCATACATGGGTGTGCATACCCTTGTGTGTGTGTGTGGAGTCAGAGGACAACATGCAGGAGTTGAATCTCTCCTTCCACCGTCTGTGTCCTGAGGCTCAAACTCGGGCTGTCACGTGTGGCAGTAGGTGCCGTTATCAGCTGAGTCATCTCACCAGCTCACGGTAAGGGCTTTTCACTCTGCTTCCCATATACCGGAGCCCAGGTGACATTTGTGGTTCAGCCCCCTGTAAATTCCCTTCAGTTCGTTCCCTTGCTGCACCTTCCCGCCAGGCCCACCCCTTGCTGCCGGCTGCCACGAAGCTTTCATTGAGCGCTCAGCCATCAGCTCTGCTTTCTTCAAGGTTTTCTCCCAGGGAGCTGGCTTGTTTTCAAACGTTCTTGGTTTCTTCAGTGATGTTTTCACTGCGACAGCTGAGAGCACAACCAGGCCTGGCCTTGATGTTCATTTTTTAAAATTTGGAGCCCGTTCCCATTTCCTGGGGTTTCCCCCACAGCGTTTGCAGTGTCTAGAGGCACCGCCTCCCCCCCAGTTGCAGAGCGACAGTCGTGATGGGTGTGGACAGGCGTGGGCAGCCAGAAGAAAATGGTCTGGTGGGAAGCCAGCGGTGGCAAGATATTTTTAAATAGCTTAAGATAACTACCTCAGATTTCTATGCCCAGAGAAAATACCCTTTAACTAGATTGAAACCAAATAAAACATATCACATCTTTTCCAAACAAAACCCGAGAGGTTTGGCATGAATAGACCTGCACAGAAAGAAAGAGCCAACAGTGTTATTTAAGTAGGAGAAAATGAAACCCCAGGTAGAAGACCACAGCTGTGAGAAGGAATAAGCCTAGAGAGCATTGTGCTAAGTGAAATAAGCCAGGCGCAGAAAGACAAATAAAGCGTGATCTCACTTGCCCATGGAATCAGAAAAACATTACATGCAGGGTGGGAGAGCAGAATGGTGGTGCCGGGGGCTGGATGGTTTTGGTGGGGAGGGGGTTGAGAGTTATATGGTTTCAGTTAGGTAGGAGTGGAAGGTTGAAGAGACCTATTGTATAAGGTGGTGACTATGGCTTATAGCATCCTGCACATCCTAAGTATGTGTGGTGATAAATATGCTTTTTTTTTTTTTTTCTCTTTCAAGACAGAATTTTTCTGTGTAGCTTTGGTGCCTGTCCTGGATCTCATTCTGTAGACCAGGCTGGCCTCAAACTCAGAGATCCACCTGCTTTGGCCTTCAGAATGTTGGGATTAAAGGTGTGCACCACCACCATCTGGCTGTTTAATATCTTGATTCCAACAAAAATGTAAAAGAAGTTAACTAAAGCGTGTGGTGGTTTGAATAAGAATGCTCCCATAGGCTCATATATTTGGATACTTAATCCTCAGGGAGTGGCACTATTTGAAAAGGATTAGGAGGTGTGGCCTTGTTGGAGGAAGTGTGTCACTAGAGGTAGGCTTTGAGGTTTCAAAAACCCATCCCAGACGGAGTCTCTCTCTTCCTGTTGCCTGCGAATCAGGATGTGGAACCCTGTTTCTCCAGCACCGTGTCTGCCTGCATTCCACCATGTTCCCCACCTTGATGATAATGGACTAAACCTCTCAAAAGGTAAGCAAACTCCAATTAAATGCTTTCTTCTATGAGAGCTTCTGTGGTCATGGTGTCCCTTCACAGCAACAGAACAGTGACCAGGACAGAGTAATAAAAGGGGCCATTTGACTATATGCAGGACACCCTGGGTTCAGTCTGTAGCACTTGAAAATAAAAGAAAGAAAAAGAGCAACAGAAACCCTATATAATCAATATTAATCATGACACTGATAAGGAAAATAATCTTTGTGGAGTTTAAAGAACACACAAACACTTCAATTGTGAAGTAACACCAGAAGAAAGAAGATGTCTTGGCGCTGTCCTCGGGGACTGTCTTATCTACGGAGAGGCTAAAAGCCAAGTATCACTGGGCTCTGCGGCCTGCAGGGCTGTGTTGTACTCAATAGTGTGGCTGCTGTGCAGAGGAGTCCGAGGATCTTTACTGATTACATAACCGAGAAGTAGAGGGAGAGAGAGAGGTGGGAAGGGAAGACTTAGAACAGGGTGATGCTATCTTCAGCTCCGGAAAAACAAACAAACAAACAAACAAAAAACAGGTTGACAGATATAAACAGGCTATGCCAGTGACTGGAATAACTTGTCTGATTAAAAGAAAAGACTATATGGGTCAGCAAGACAGCTCCTCAGTTAAAGGTGCTTGCTGCCAAGCCCGATGAGCTGAGTTCAATCTCTGGTAACAACACGGTAGAAGGACAGAATCGAATCCTGGAAGTTGTTCTCTGAACTCCATATGTGTTGTGGCATACAGACATAGACACACACACATAGACACAGACACACACAAATAAAGAAAAAAGAAAAAAAAATTAAGTTCCCACCATCTACTTCTAGTCACCTTTATTTCCTACCACTATAGAGGTGAAAAAAAATTACAGAAATGACTTAAGGCACTGCTAAATGTACAAACAAACAAAAATTCAATCCCCCAAACAACCACTCCCCAAACAACAGCAACAAAAATAGATGGACTACATTCAGGTCATGTCTTACTAAAACATAGTTCAAATTAATAGCAACACACACACACATACTGCATTGAATAGATGTGATTTATTTGCAACTCACCTGAAAACATAGTTTCACTGTTGCCTCTGTGGCCAGGCTATGCCACCAGATACAATGTAACAAGACTTTGGCCAAGGTTAAAAGGCAGATAAATGTCACCCAGAGAAGAGATGAGCGCAGGACTTGAGGCTGATAAAAACAGACAGAATGTAAAACAGACACAGGAGGGGTGGAGGAGAGAGCACAGACTGACGGACGGCCCAGCTTTTTGCAATGCACTGGCCCCCTGGCCAGCAGATCTTTTATTTGGCTTACCAGGTGACCGCCTGCCCTAGTTTCATGCTGTAGTGAAGGACCCCCCCCCCCATACAGCTGCAATGCAGGAAGCTGGAACATGCCCGAGGGCCAACTATCCAGGCTCCTAATGGGACGGCACACCAGTGAGACCAGAGGAGGGAAAGGCATTTATTCCTGACCAGACAAAAAGCAGGGATGGGAGGCGATTTCCCTGCAAGAAGGTGTTCCAGGCCATTGCCCAGCTGGATGCTAGACAGGGGTAGACAGACTATGTGAGTCTGCCTTTGTACAGAAAGGACATTTGAGAGCTCTGCTATTGATTAGGGGTCTCCTTTAGAAGCTGCTTGGGTACTCCGGAACCTTGGATTTAGGAAGCATGGGGATTAAGTCAGAAGCAGGGATGAAGCCTCAATTTGCTAGAATATTTGTGGACTTTCCTTCAGTTCATGTCTGCCCTAGTTCCTGGTCAGTATCTCTCCATAAAAATAGACCAGCAGTAACTGTAGCAATAACCATTGTACCATGGATACAATTCCTTTAGGTTAAAGAAAGAGCCGTTTACATAAGACAACAGCAAGTGTGGAAGTTGAGGCAGGGAGGTAGTTGTTTCTGTAGCTAGTCTGGAGAGACTGTAGCTCCCTGCCACCCCACCTCCCCACCCCCCCCACCATGCTCTGCCTGTCTTTGGATCACACTATAGCTAGTTGGCACTCTATGCCACTGGGGCCAATCCCTTAGTTGTCTCTGGTGCCCGAATCCTTAGCAGTCCTGTTTGGGATGGGTTGACCTTCTTCTCCTGATAACATTGGCCATTGCCTGTGGTCTACCCTGTAGCACCCACAGCAAAGGGCCCCTGGGTGCTCCCATGTTGCAGCTTCGCTTCTCCCAGCACCTACTGTGAAACAGCACCTATTTCCTTTGATAGTGCAGGTCAGAGAGCGGATGCCCTCAACCTGTTTGTTTAGTGTAGGCCTCCTGGTTTCTCAGTGTGACCCTGTGGATGTCACACTGGAGTGGGGAATTGTGATGGAGATGTCCTGTGCATTGTAAATGTTTAGCAGTACCCTTGATCTCCGCAGACTGGGTGCTGGCTGCAATCCTACCTCCCGATTACAAAGGACAATTTCCAGACACTGGAGGCGGGAGTGCTGGGAACGGCCTGGGTTGTCATTTCTGGTGGGTCTTCTGGGAAGATGCTTTAGTTTTCTGTTGCTGCTGCAACAAACAGTGCAGACTCATTGCTTAACAGAAGGCAATCTCTTTCATACAGTTCCTGACATTAGACGTCTGAAAATGACATTGAAAATCAAGGATCATAGGACAAAGTTCGTTCCAGGTAGCTTCCAGAAGGTTGTGACATTCCTTGACTTGAGCCCCAACTCCAGCGGGATCATCACTTAGACTTTTTCAATGCTGAATCTCAGACTCCCTGGCCTCCTCTTCTGCCCCAGGAGGATGTTTTGTAATTTCGTTGGGCCCCTCTGGATAATCCAGGACAATATGCCCACCCTGGTATCCTTACTCAGATTTTCACAGTCACTTTTGCCACTGGGGTAACATACCCACAAATTTCTGGGGATCAGCATGTGGACACTCTGGGAGTAACTATTTGAGTTGTAACAATGAGGCTCAATGAAGAGAGGCCTTCAAGATAACAAGAGAGCAGTGGGTATAGTGGTGGGCCTTTACTCCCTGTGCTTGGGAGGCAGAGAGGCAGGCGGATCTTCGTCAGTTCAAAGTCAGCTGGGTCTACATAGTGAGACTCTGTATCAAAGAGAGAAAAAGAAAGAGAAAAAGAGAGGAGGAGAGGGAGAGAGAGGAAGAAGAGGAGGAGGGGAGAATGGGGAAGGAAGGAGGAGGAGGGAGGGGGAAAGAGAATAGGAGGAGAGGGGAGAGGAAGGGAAAGGAAAGAGGAGAAAGAAGAGAGAAGAGGAGAGAGAGAGTATCTGCAGACAGAACAGTGCCAGTTCAGGGAATGACAGCGAGAGGGTCCTGGGGACAGGCCCAGGCTTAGCAGCTGGCTTGGAAACAGAAGTCCACGTAGGACAGAGCAGTTAGCAAATAGCAGCAAGGGTAAGTGACAGGAGCAGAGCCACACTGTGGGGCCTTGTGACAACCTTGGTTCTTGCCTGGGGGCACAAAGTCCTTAACAAAGTTTACATGATGGAACCACATCATCTGGTGTGCTCTAATGGAATTTTTTTTGGCCATTTCGTGGAAAGACAGCTGAAAATTGTGCAAAATGGTAAACAGGGGATATCTATTACTGTGTAACAAACAACGCCCAAACTAAATTACTTTAAAACAATACTGGTTTTTGTCTTACTGTAGGTTGGCTGGTGATGGCCAGGGGCATTGTGCTGTGGCATTCAGGGCTGAGTTCAGCTGGCTGGAATGTTAACTGATGGCTTCACTTTTATACCTTGCGTCTCACGGGGGTGACTGCTGGGCTAGTCAAGCCTTTCTGTGCACGAAGGTAAGGACTTCACACATGGCGGCAACAGTTTCCAAGACAGTTGCAGTAGAAAAGGCCTGGAGTTGGGCCAGCATCACATTCTTGGCATTCTCGTGATCGAGCAAAGTTAAAAGGCCAATTCAGTTTAGAAGGAAGGAAACAGAGTCCGATTATACAGGACAATGAGTGTTAGATACGGTTAGGACCCACGACATTTCAGGTGAAAGATGGTACAGCTTGGGCTAAGCTGGTGGAGTCTATGGAGACTAATTGTAATCTGAGTGTGTTTTGGAATTAGAGCCTGTAGTCCGAGTGGGTGGCCACAAAAAAGCAATGTAGACTAATGGTTTAGAACCACCTTTATGGCGAGGCAGTGGTGGTGCACACCTTTAATGCCAGTACTTGGGAGGCAGAGGCAGGTGGATTGCCGAGTTCCAGGACAACTTAATCTACAGACTGAGTTCCAGGATAGCCAGGGCTACATAGAGAAACCCTACCTCAAAAAGACAAAACAAAACAAAACAAAAACAAAATGATGTTATCCACAGTTCTGGAGGTTGGCAGCATGGTCATGTTCTGGTGGACTTTCTCTGGCTTGCATATAGACACCTTCTTAGCCATGTTTTTGCATGGCCTGTTTTGGGTGTATATGTAAAACAATTTCTTTTTTTTAATTATTACTACTACTACTACTAATTTTTTTTTTCTTGAAACAGGGTTTCTCTGTGTATCGTTGGCTGTCCTGGAATTCAGAGATCTACCTGCTTCTGCCTCCTGAGTGCTGGGATTAAAGGTGTGTGCCACCACCACCCTGCATAATTAATTTATTATTATCATTAATTTTTGACAATGTCTCATTGTGTGGCTCTGGCTAACCTGGAATTTGCTTGTGTAGACTATGCTGGCCTCAATCTCACAGTGATCTGCCTGCCTCTGCCTTCCCAGTACTGGTATTTGAATAAAAAAAAGAAATAAAAAGGAAAGGAAAGGACACGACTGATCCTAAGTATGGTGGAGGAGAAAGGTTATTGTAGATACGCAGGAGAGCACAGTCAGAGGCGGGGATATCTGGGAGAGTCCAGAGTGGACGTGACCAGGCTGAGCTGGGCCATATGGGAAAAGGGGAGAGCAAGGGAGAGAGAGAGAGGAGACTGGAGTGCAGCAGCCAGGAAGCCAACCGTACAAAAAGGGGCCGGTAACCAAAATGTCTCCATTATATAGGAAAGAGCCTCTGGGGAGAAGGGCAGCCCAGTCCCCGGGCCGGAGAGTTTAGGGTAGAGAGCGGATATTCAGCCACACCCTGTAACACGTAAGGACTGGGGGATGCTCAGAGAACCTGGTAGCCAGGTCTGCTTTGATATGTTAAATAGGCACCTCAGTCATTTGTCCCAGGTTTGAAATTTAACAATATTAAAGGTGTGTGTCACCGTGCCTGGATTATTTATTTTTATTATATTTATTTATTTATCAATTATCTATTTGTGTGTGTGCACATGCACTTGTGGAGGTCAAAGGACAACTTCCTGGTGTCAGTCCACTCTTTCTACTATGTGAGGCCTGGAAGTTGAAATCAGGTCATCAGCTTAGTGGCAAGCGTCTTCACCCTCTGAACCATCTCACTAGCCCTTTCTCTCTTTCCATAAAGACACCAATCACACTGGACTCAGATCTCATCCTTATGACCTCACCTAGTCTTTATTGTCTCACAAACGTCCTTCATCCAAATATGCTCGCACTGTAGGTTAGAGCTGCAACACGGCCCGGAGCAGCAGCACAATTCTGTGTTCATCAACTAGGGCATGCAGGGAGAAAGTAGGAGAAGTCAAAGATAGTGTGTGTGCGTGTGTGTGTGTGTGTGTGTGTGTGTGTGTGTGTGTGTGTGTGTGTGCACATTCAAACAGTTGACAGAGAGAGAGAGAGAAGGGGGAGGTGGGTCAACTGTTAGAACAGGAATGAGCTGAATTCCGAATGCAGCTGAAGTAGGTTAAGGGGTACTTGTATTTAATTTTAGACATGCTAGTTTTGAGAAATACATTAGACACTTAAGGAAAGATACTGACTAGGTAGTGTGACCTCCATATATTCTGGACTGAAGCTATAAAGTGGGTAATCATTACATACAGATGACATTTAAAACCACAATGGGATCAACAGGAGAGGGGCTTCTGGAGGAACTTTAAAAACTAAGAATTTGCTGGTGAGGTAGAGGGAAATGTAGGCCACGTTGTGTCATGCCTAGGTATACATACATATGTAAGAATTAAAAATGAATGCTCTTGGGGGTTGAGGGGAGAGAAATAATTTAAAAAATGAATGCTTTCTGTCACTTAAAAATTTATTTTTAAAGACCAGGTCTTACTCAGTCCAGGCTGAGTGAACTTGTAGTAATCCTCTTGCCTCTGCCTTCCAAGTGCTGAGATTACAGGTATGTGCCACCATGCCTGGTTCACTCTTTAATAAATAATCATACATTTATTGAAATACAACTGATATGCCATACAATTCACACAGTGGCCAACTGGAGAACTGTTAGTATATTCATAGGTTTGTGTTACCACCACAGTCAATTTGAGAACATTTTCATCTCCCAAAAAGAAAGTCCATACCTTTGGCTATCACCTTTCTATCTTCCACGTCTCCTAGCCCTAAGTAACACCTAGAGGGTTTGTTTAATGGAATTGTATGAGGTCCTTTTTGACTGGCTTCTTCCAATTAGCTCATTTTCATGTCGCAGCATGAACAGTACTTCTTTTAACGGCCAGATAATAGTCCATGCAACTTTCTTTCTCCTCACTCTCTGCTGTTTTCTGTGGTCTTGATTACAGGTATTCTAGCACACAGGGAAGTGAGTATTTCCTTGTCAATTCCCCCACATCTTAACTTGGCTTCCCTCTCTTGGATTATCAAAGGAAATATAACTTCCATTAACATCCTAGCATTGCTTGAAAGTTAAGTCTGTGAGTTGCTATGTGCATGCTGGAAATATACTGCAAATCCTGTCATTATTTTCCAAATGTATGGTTCAAAGGTCAGGGATGTGGCTCAGTGGTAGAATACTACTTTAGCATGTGTGAAAGTCCTTGGTTCAGTCTCCAGGAGTGAAAGAAGTAAGTAGGTAACTAAGCAGAAGGAAAGTCAGGCCCAGTGGTGAACATCTGTAATCTTGGCACTATAGGATGCCGAGGCAGCAGGGTTATTCGAGTCCAGCCTGATCTTACATGGCAAGTTTTGGGCCAGCTTAGGCTACATATCAAGACCCTGTCTAAAAAACAAAACAAAAACCAAGCTGCCTGTGCTGACGGAACACACTTCTGTAACCCCAGCTTTTAGGAGGCAGAGGCAGAGGCAGAAGGATTCATGGTCATCCTTAGCTATAAAGATAGTTTGAGGCCAGCCTGGGCTAGCTCCTCCATATCAATTTACTAACCTGTGAAACTGAGAAAACAACAACAACAACAAAACAAAAACCCAACTCTCCAAGTTCCCAAACCCAGACTATCACTCAAGCCTCTGGTGACTTACCATGATGCCCTCCCTAGTTTATGTAATAACTATGTAAAGGAGATGCTGAAAATATCCGTTCATGAGCTCCTGTTCCTTGATTTCCCTCAACATCAAAAACTAGTTGCTATGTGACATTTGCCATGTAAAGGTGACCAGGTGAGGGTTTATACAGAGTCACAGCAGGTGCCTCCGAAAGGCTTTGCCTTCAGTTGGTCCAACAGAGGCAGTTACAGCAGAGGGAGAGAAAACACTCCAGATTTAAGATATTATGAGGTCCTCCTCCTTTCCATGGCTTGGGGTGGCCATGATCCTTTAAAAACAAACAACTGTTTTACCATGTACCAACACAATGTGCTTGTGACTGAAACAATAAAACAAGGAGACAGGAAAGGATTCTGGGAAGGATTCTCCTGGCAGGGTACCACAGATGTTGAAAGATGTTTCCTGACAAAGGTGTAGCTATCTGGGACACTAGGGAGACCTGGGGTTAAGTACATATGCAAATAAATGCTGGGAAAATGCTCAGGGGATTTACCTCCATTAAACACTTTTGAGAAGTCATTACAGGTGATGAAACTCTGGCTCTATGAGAGGGAATGGGAAAAATGTTCAGGTAGCAGAGCTACAGCTGAACCAGGGAGTGGCTAGAGAAGGAAAAGGATGATTCAGGTTTTGGGACTGAAGTCTTGGGAGCTGTTTTGGGAGTTAGAAAGTGTACACTTCCCAGAGTGGTAAATTAGTACACACTGTAAGAGTGTCACAGCTACTGCTTTCCTTAAATCCTGGAGGGCATTAGGTTGTGATGTTGATATTAGAGTAGTCTCTCTCTCTTTTTAAAAGCATGGTTGGGTCACTTTTTTTTTTTTTTTTTGCTTTCATGTGTGCTATGCATACATGTATGTGCATGTGCGTGTGTGTAATAGACTATCTTCTGTGATCACTCTTCCCCTAGTATATTGAGACAGGGTCTCATGAACCTAGAGCTTGTAGGCTAGTCTTTCCTGAGGATCTCATCTCTGCTTTCCCTGCAATTACTGGCAGGATGCTGCATCCATCTGGCATTTACATGGGTGTAAGGCAAGAGCTTTTCTCAACTGGCCATCTCCTCCCTTCCCCACAGTATTCCTGTGTTTATATGACAGTAATCTCAGGTGTTCTTCCTCGGGGGTTATTCACCTTCTATTTTTTTTTAAGGACAGGGTCTCTCACGGGCTCAGAACTTCCTAAGTATGCTAGACTGGCTGGCCAGCAAGCCCAAGGGCCTGTGTGTCTCCATCTTCCCAGTACTGTTCTAGCTATGTGGGTTCTAGCTATCACTCAGGTCCCGAATGCTCTCTCCAGCCCCACATTTGCCAATCGAAAAGTAAGGGAGTACTGGTGAACGTGAACAGGCTCATCAATCACAGAGACGCAAGAGGGTTGTGTCCAACACTGATCCGCGGACATTCCACAGCGGCTGTGTCATCCAGGAGGAACCTGTCCGATCCATCCAGCTTTGGCAGATTCGAGGGTGACAACTTAACGATCTGCTCTTGACTTGGAAGACACTCTGGAGGCCATTGCAGGCAGAAACCCCTCCTGTGACGCTCCTGCGATGGCCTTGAAGTCACTGCCTGATTCTGTCATTTCCTTAACTGTCCCTCGGTTCCTAAAGAGAAGAAAAGTGTGACTAAAGGCCTGCAACATGGACATGGCTCAACTTACTCAAGAAGATGCTGGGCTTGTGTTCAGTGACTAATCTTATGTGAGCACGGTTCTTTAATAAGGGGCTGCTGGGGGTCTCGAGGTACCGGCCAGGGTCAAGGTATCCCGTGGCCCCAAAGTCTAGCTAGGTGCGGTAGCGTCTGCTCCAACAACAGCCTCACGACCTAACCACGTGACCAAACTGTCCATCTATTCCAAAGCGGCTTCTCTTCGAACCTCAATATGATCACCACCCTCATTCGACAGAGGGGGAAACTGAGGCAAGGGCCAACACCTCCAGACATCCACCTACCCACCACGCCACGGACCCAGCACACGCGTGGACGCAGGAGGCTGCTCAAGAGGCCTGGGTTGAGGCCCACCGGAGCCTCTCTGAGCCCCGGGGCTCGCCTGACGGCCGAGCTGCAGCCTCGGCCCGCGCCCAGCCTACACAGCGCAGGTGGGCACTCGACGGTTCGCGGTCAAGGCCCGGCACACCGGAAACATGCGCGGCTGAGCGTGCGCGCCGGGGTACGCGTGTCCACGGAGAAGCCGGGACACGGACCGGAAGTGTGTGCGGCCCAGGGAGCGCGCGGGCCCTGGGGCCGGAAATGTGCGCGACCGAAGCCGCGCACACGCCGCGGCTCTGGGGGGCACGGGCCGGAAGTGTGCGTGGCCGAAGGAGCTCCGCGGCTTAGGCAGCTCGGTGGCGGAGGCTGCGGGAAGGCTCCGCTTCCGGCGGCGGCGGCGGCCTACGGCGACGAGAGCCCCCTGCGCTGTTGACTCCCGGGCTCTTCTAGCGCTCCTCGGAGTCCGACGCGGCCTGTCCGTTCGCTGAGCTGGCCCGGCGGCTGCGGTCCCTGCGTGTGCGAGCGAAGGCCCCGCGGTCATGAGCGGCAAGGAAGGTGCGGGGCCAGGGCGTGGAGGGGCGGGGCTGGGCCCTGTGCGCCGGGCTCCGCGGTCACCGCGCCGCAGGCCTGCCCCGGGTGGTCCCCTGCCCACCCACCTCGGGGGACAGCCCTATTCCTTGAGTCTCGGACCCCCGGGCAGGTGCACGTCCAGGCCGTGTGTAGGGACTCCGGTGTGGCTGGGGAGGCGGCCCCGTAGGCCAGGCCGTACGGGTGCCGGGGGGGAGGAAGGGGGTCACCTGGGCTGTGCAGACGCGACGATGGAAGGGCGCTCCAGCTTATCATCTTTTCTTTTCTACGTAAGGACCAGGAGGGTTCAGGAAGAGGAAGCATGACAACTTCCCACATAACCAAAGGAGAGAAGGGAAGGATGTCAGTTCGTCTTCCCCGGTGATGTTGGCCTTCAAATGTAAGTCTCCATAAGGAGAATTAGAGCCGTAAGGATCGCGTGGCCGTAATGTGCACTCAACAGTTTAGGACATCCAGGCTAGCCAAGGCTACATAGTGAGACCTTGTCTCAAAAGGAAGAAAAAAATAGGCCATGCAGATGTAAATGTAAAGCTTAGGTTTTTTTTTTGAATGGTTTGTGTTGATGCTAGGTCTGCCCTGAACATCTGTATTCCAAAGGTTCAGCTATCAGGATCAACATGACCAAGTTAATAGACTAAGAAAGGGGATTGTGAATACCTGTGTACATGTGATACAAGCTTTACTAATAGTTCCTATTCTGTGCAAAGTGCTACCTCAAATTTTTTGTCTGTGTGCCATTCTAGTTAACTGACCTAACACACACTAAATATAAATACATATGCTAGTAAATGGTACACGAGAAGATGATGTCACACGCAGGATAGTTGTTAAGAATATGGCCTATTTCCATATAAAGTAACATTTAACGTGAAACTGTTTACCTGTTTACTAAAGTTAATATCTTCTTAGAGCATAATAGTCAAGGACTCTGGGATACACATGTATTTGCCACGTTGCATTTGTTAAAAGCAAGGTAAATTAAAAACTGCTTCATATTTAGGAGGAAGGAAATTGGTTGTACCTTATAAAGAGAAGGGTCTCAACTAATTTGTGGACAATTTAAAAAGCACACAGTACTTACAGTAATCTTCCCAAGTGTAGGAAACTAGGTATAATTGAGAAGAGGACATATTGATATTACTGAGTACTGAATGAAAACAAGCTTCGTGTTTCCAGCATATTTGCTGTTTTCCTGTTTCTTCTCTTACGGGCTCATAGTTCTTTGGGTGTGGATTTGCTTCTGACTTAGTGCTTTCATTACCATTCCAATGGATCATGTTCTCTTCAAGACCCAGCTCAAGTGGTTCCTTGGTGATGAACACTACATCCATTCAGTTTCCATTCATCCACTCATGAGATGGTTTTTCCCCCCGCTAAACCCTATGTATTTATTATATCATCACTTAATTACTTGTTATTTATACTTGTGTCTCTGTGAGGCTAGGAACAATGTTCCATCTAACTTTGCATTTATAATATCAGGCTGACAGCATTTATAATATTAGACAAAATCCAGGTATCATCATCATCATCATCATCATCATTATTATTGTGATAGGGTCTAGTTAGCCCAGACTGGTCTCTTGAGGATGACCTTGAACTCCTGATCCCCCAGCCACTATCTCCTGAGTGTTGGGGATTGTGAAGGCCTATGCTCCTTTCCTGGAACTCACTCTGTACTGTAGCCCAGGCTGGCCTCAAACAGATCCACCTGGCTCTGCCTCCCAAGTGCTGGGATTAAAGGTGTGCTCCTCCACCACCGCCCAGCTGGGGATTGTTTTTATGCAGTGCTGAGGACTGGACCCAGACCTAGTGCATGCTGGGCATGAACCTACCAGCTGAACTAGATCCCAGCCCTGCAGTGCTGCTGTTAACGTTAGGAGACTAAACACTGGTGGTGTTGGTTATTTTGAAGGTGATAGTAAGGTGGTTTGTTGTATTCATTAGCATACCAGTGTCACTTTAAAATAGTTGACAGATTTCTCTAAAAGCCTCCAGGGATTTTGAAGTCTGTGTTTTGTGCACTGTTGCATAGAGGGTAGTTTCTTTGTTTTAAGAATTAGTGTCGTGACTACTGTTTTGTTGGTTGGGTCTTCCATGGAGGCAGATGACTACAGCGTTGGCTACATCCACCTTGTGGCATGTGTTCTTTCTGTCTTCTGACTAGCGTTGGATAAGAATATGCATGCTTATGGTTATTATAATGTGTTCTAGCATTTCAGCAGGAGCTGGATGCGAGGCATGACAAATATGAGAGACTTGTGAAACTAAGTCGGGATATAACTGTTGAAAGTAAGAGGACCATCTTTCTTCTCCATAGGATTACAAGGTGGGTAGACATCTTTGAAATTTGTTATTTAAATTTTAAATTTGTTTTCTGATGCATTATATTTGTATATTTTATATCTCAACAGATAACGGATGTTAGAATATATTTTGCATTTTAAATAGTATCAGATAATATAAGCATCTACGTTTTAAAAATTAATATGTGGGGCTGGAGCTATATCTCAGTGGTTAAGAGCCGTGACTGCTCAGTTCCCGGCACTTACACAGTGGCTCCCCACCATCGGCAGCTCTAGTTCTAGGGCATCTCTCTCCGTGGTCACTGGGCACACAGATGTGCACAGACACGCATGCTGGCAAAACACCCATACACATACAATCATTTTAAAATATTTTAGTTTGGCTTTTAAATGCGTTTGTGTATGTCTGTGGGTGTTTTCACAAGGGTGTCAGATCCCCCGGAATTGTGAGCCACTCCACTGGGTGCTGGGAAGTGAGCTCTGGTCCTCTGTAAAGGTAGTTAACTACTGAGCCATCTCGCCAAGACCAAAAGCAACATTTTAAAGTGTCTTTTTTTTTTTTTTTTTTTTTCCGAGACAGGGTTTCTCTGTATAGCTTTGCGCCTTTCCTGGAACTTGCTTTGGAGACCAGGCTGGCCTTGAACTCACAAAGATCCACCTGCCTCTGCCTCCCGAGTGCTGGGATTAAAGGCATGCGCCACCACCGCCTGGCGCAACATTTTAAAAATAGGAGAGAAAATCCTTTCTTTTAGCCTACCTATGGAATTCACACTCTGTTTGGATCATTCATTTACATATATTCATATATATTATGTGTAGAAGGATAGTCTGAGGAAAATACATTAAAATTTGTATTATCTTTCGGAGTTTATTACATTAAAGTCTTAGTTGATGTAAAATTTAGTATTAGATGTGAAAATAGGATTACTTTCCAATTCTGTTTTCAGCTCACTGTAGTCTTGTCTGGTCCTTGGGCCTTCCTGGTATAGAATCCAGTGTGTCTGGTTTTGTATTTTACAGCATGCAGTACTCTTGGCTGCTTAGTTCTTCGATGGTTTCTCTTTGAGCCCTGTGGCATTGTTTGCTTTGTGCTTCTTTCTCCAGGCCGGACTCTCTTGTTTTTCTAGGGAGGTTCTCTGGTGTCTGGGCTGGAAGTAAAACAAGGTGACACTGGCCTCCGCAGAGCAGGCAATGGGTTAGATTGATCTCAAGATTCAGGAATGTCTTAGGAGCACAGCAGAGGCCTTTCATCTTCTACTCTCTCTCCTCTCCTTCCTTTGCTTCTCCATCCCATGTGGGGCAGAAGTGTCTTGTCTGCTTTAGCTTGTGTGTCCAGCCCCAGCTCCCCAGGATGAATTCTGGGTGTCTCTGCAGGGGTAGATATATTTGTTTAGGGAAGAAGTCATTCATTGGCTTTTTTACTATTGAGAATATTTTGAAGCATTCTATTCCCCTAACTTTAACTTTGTTTGATTTTGGTGGCATGGGGATTGACCTTGCCAGGAACTGGCACCTACTAGGCAAGTCTCCACTGCTGCTGTCCTGACTTATTTAACCACCATTGCATTCCTGGCTGTTGGCTCCATCGATGCTTGTTTGTTTGTTTGGAGACAGGATCTTACCATCTTTCGTCCACCTCCTAAGTAAGTCCTGTGAATAGAGACATATTATCACCACACCTAGTTTAAAACAAAAACAAAACTACATCTACTTTTAAATTGAATTTTTTTTTTTTCTTTTTTGGTTTTTCGAGACAGGGTTTCTTTGTGTAGCTTTGCGCCTTTCCTGGAATTCACTTGGTAGACCAGGCTGGCCTCGAACTCACAGAGATCCTCCTGCCTCTGCCTCCCGAGTGCTGGGATTAAAGGTGTGTGCCACCACTGCCCGGCATTAAATTGAATTTTTTATTTTTCTTGCATTTTAAAAATCAATTCTGGAAATTTATGTCAATTAGTGGAGGTACTTATTAGAGAGATCATTTGTATTTAATGGTATGGATAGGTATTGGTTTTCTTTTTCTTTTCTCTCTTTTTTTTTTGGTTTTGGTTTTGGTCTTTTTTTCCTTTTGGTTGTGAAGCTAGCCTTTAACATCTGAGCCTTCCAGCCTTTCCAGCCCTTTTGTTGTCTTTTGAGTCAGAGTCTCTGTAGTTCAGGCTGAACTCAGGATTCCTTTGTCTTTGTGCCCCCCCCCCCCCCCAGAACTGTGTGTGTGCCACCATACTGGCTCTGCCTTATTTTCGATTGAGTGTATGTGTGTTTGTGTGAGTGCATGTGGAGGGCGGATGTTGACTTCCGATATCTTCTTATGTTCTCTAACTTTTTTCTTTTGAGGTAGGGCCTTTCAATGAACCTAGAGCTTGCTACTTTGCCTAGACTGGCCAGTGAGCTCCAGCCATCTGTGTGTCTGTCTCCTCTGTCCATAGCACTGGGATTATAGATGTGCAACATCATGGTTGGGCTTTATTAGGGTGCAAAGGTTCTGAACTCAGGTCCTCATGCTTCCATAGCAAGTGCTTTACCTTCTGAATCATCTCTCCAACTCTGGAGCTTCTCTCTTTGTCTCTGTCTGTCTTGTCTGTCTTTCTCCCTCCCTCCTTCCCTCTGTGTGTGTGTGTTTGTGTGTGTATATGTATGTGTGGGCATGGTTGCTTAATGGTGTACAGTGTGTCTCAACAGTGGATCATCTTTCTCAGATAGTGCTGGACTAATTGAAATTTGTGGATATCAGACTCACAGCTGCTTTGCATGGTTTGTATGACAGTTACCTTGGTGAATTCAGGTCTGGTGTTGAGGTGCCTTGTCAGTTATTGCAATGCATTGGAAAGTAAGGGCTGCTCACATGTCAGTTTACATCAGGGTTAGCAGCATGTATATAGGAGAGTGTTGGAGCCCACTAGGTTTCTTAGTGGCTGTACCTGAGTCTATCCTGTGTTTTCTCTCCCCGATACTTCTAACTAACTCGCTTAATCCCTCAATCCTTAAGAGTTCCTGGGGTAAATAAGTGTGGGAGCTGGTCCTCCACAGTAGAGTGGTCTTCCTTTCTCCACTAGCCTAGCTTTTTGTGCATTGTGGTAGTTCCTGTTACCTCTGTATTCTATCCCCAGGACACATTGCTTTTACTTTAAACTGCGTGATTTAGGAAACAAGGAACAGATTGTATATTTATCCCTGCAGTTACCATTTCTAATGTCATTTATTCCTTGGCACATGGATTTAGATTTCCATCTGGAATAATTTTCCGTTTGCCTGAAGAACTTCTTTAATATGTCTGAGTGGTGTGCTGATGATGGCTGCATGTAGCCTATGGGAATTGTTCTGCTTGCTTACTTTGGGTGGTTTCTTTTGTGGCCTTGGGTACCAGGCCACAGTTTTAGTACTTGCCTGCAGTGACCTGTACTCAGGCAGAGACATGAGGAAGTCCCTTGTGTAGTGCAGAGCTCTAAAGGACCATCAATTTTGCAGCTTTCTCCCTGCTCTCTGCCCTGAGCATTTAGCTCTCTTGACCTCCTTAAACTTTCAACTTTTCAACTCAGGCTGACTTTAGCTCTCCCTAGGTTTTCCTTCCTATATTGTCACTTGGAAACTCTTCCAAGCCTTGAGATGGACATTGGGTGTGTCTTCACTTCCCTGATTGTTGTCCTGTTCACTGTTCACGTTGCCTGAGTACAGTGTCGGAAACCATTGTTTTGCATGATCTATTGTTTCAGGGGGTTTTTTGGTGTGGCTTTTTTTTTTTTTTTTTTTGAGTTGTTTTAGGTGGAAGCAGCCAGCTACAGAGATTGATTTTTTTTTTTTTATGAATAAGGTTTTTCTTATAGTTTTCATCACAAGGCTGATGTTTTCAAAGTTTCTAATGTCTTTACAGTGCTCCTGATATGGAGGAGATACTGACTGAATCAGAAATGAAACTGGATGGTGTCAGACAGAAAATATTACAGGTAGCCCAAGAGCTCTCAGGAGAAGATATGCACCAATTTCATCGGGCTGTCACCACAGGTCAGTCTAAAGGTTAATAAAGAGTGCTATGTGGATTTATGTGTATTTTCATTGACACTCCATGAAGTGGTATTACTAACTTAAACACCTGTGTGTGTGTACGTACATGTGCCATGACCCATGTAAGGAGGTAGGAGAACAACTTGTGGGAATTGGTTCTCTCCTTCCACCATGTTGGTCTCAGTGATTGAACTCAGGTCATCAGGCTTGGTGCCATGTGCTCTTACCCGCTGAGCCATCTCACTGGTTCCATACGAAGTCTTCAGAATAAATCTTTGACAGTCTCATAGATCAGTCTGGCTTCAAAGTCCCTAGATAACTAAGGTTGACTTTGAATTCTTATCCTTCTGCCTCTACCTCCCAAGTGTTGGCATAATTAGCATGCGTTACCTTCCTAGCTTTAAAATGCTTTTCCAGTCTTTTAACTGAAGAAGCAGTGATATTTATTCTTAAGTTCTAGATGAAGCAGTCAAAAGAAACTCTTATCTGTGACTTAAAAAGTTGCTTGGATTATATTTAAGAAAATAAATGTATTTATAGTGTTGGCAATGTGTTGCTTATGAATAGCCTGCTGCTCTAATTGGTGAATACTTGTTTTGGTGTTACTCCAAAACTCTCTTCTTTTGACTTGAAGATAAAATAGCTCTGGCATTGAACTAAAGGAATTCTGTGCTTATTAAGCACAGTGCTGAAGGCAGACAAAATGTTTCCCCAAGAGGGCTATGTGAGCACAGACAGTAGCCTCATGGTTCAGCAGTACACCTTGGGTGCAAGTAGACCGAACTGTTCAAAGAAATGGTTGAACAAGTAAATGTGCAATTAGTTGCTTGAAATAAGCAACTTAAAAATTTTTTATGACTTCTTTTTTGTTGTTGTTGAGAAATTAACAGGTCAGGGATGCCCTGCATCTATCTATCTATCT